CTTCTCCGCGTCCTCCTTGGTCCTGGCCGAGCCCTGAGGAACACACAGCGTGAGTCACGGCCGCCGCCGGTCACGCCCGCTTTGGGGCCTCGCCGACATACCTTCTGCACGGCGGCGGCGATCTTCTCCGCCTCCTCCGCCTTGCTCTTTGCATCTCTGGCGTCGGCGGCCGCGTTGCCGAGCGCTGCTTCCGCCTGCCGCGTCTTCTGGTTGGCTGCCGCGATGGTGGCGTTGATGGCGGGGATCTTCTTCAGGGCCTCCTCGGCCGCCGTCTTGTTGTCGTTGACACGCTTGTCGAAGTCTTAAGGAGCAAAGAGGAAGTTGATTCAGCTTAAAGACAGACAGACAACAGTCTGGAGGACAGAAAGACAGACAGGAGGACAAACACCTCTGAGGTCCTCCAGGATGCTCTCGGCCTCCCTGAAGGTGGACTGTCCTTTCTTCGCCGCTTCCTCGGCCAGAGCTTTGGCGGCGTCGGCTCGGGCCAGCAGCTGGTCTGCAGTCTGTCAGACAGGAAACAGGAAGTGACACGTCGACATGCATCATAACTCCATGACATCATCCATTTGTGACACTTCTCTCTCTGGGGACAAGACACATAAGCAGTCTATATTCTGGGAGTTAGGGTTAGCCTAGCTTAGCATCGTACCTGCTGCTCGCTCCTCCCCTTTTCCAGCAGCTTGCGGACTTCCAGCTCCTTCCCCCTCAGGTCGTCTCTCAGGTCGTTGTACTCCTTCTCCGTCTTGTCGATGAGCTTGTCCAGGTCTGACGCTTCCTTCTTGATCTTACCAGCTTCATCCTGAGAAGACAGCGAGCAGTACTTACACATGTACACATATATGTACATCATATGTATGTAATACACATGTAGTATATATATAGTCACCTCTAGAGCTTTGGTGTCAAACGAGGGGACGCTTGTCAGGTTGGCAAAGATCTTCAGGGCCTTGTCCCCGGCGTCCTCGGCCTCGGCCTGGACCTTGTTGGCCTGCTTCTCCAGGTTCTTTGCCAGCTCCTTGGCCTCGTTGTACCTGGAGCGTTGGAGTACGCGGGCGTGTACATAAGTACACACAGTATTCACACAGGTAGATGTGTATCTCTGATGAGACGTACTTCTTGTTGAGCTCGTCCACCTCCTGACTCGTCCTGCTCTCTCCTTCCAGAGTCCTCAGCAGCAGGTTGTGCGCTTTGGTCGACGTGTCGTTGGCGTCTCTGGCGATCTTCTCGATCTGGTCGGCGTCCATCTTGTGCCTGAAGAGAGTCCAGTTTAATGAGACGGACGTCCTTTGGTCTACCAGACGTCCTTTAGTCTACCAGACGTCCTTTGGTCTACCAGACGTCCTTTAGTCTACCAGACGTCCTTTGGTCTACCAGACGTCCTTTGGTCTACCAGACGTCCTTTAGTCTACCAGACGTCCTTTAGTCTACCAGACGTCCTTTGGTCTACTAGACGTCCTTTGGTCTACTAGACGTCCTTTGGTCTACCAGACGTCCTTTAGTCTACCAGACGTCCTTTAGTCTACCAGACGTCCTTTAGTCTACCAGACGTCCTTTGGTCTACCAGACGTCCTTTAGTCTACCAGACGTCCTTTAGTCTACCAGACGTCCTTTGGTCTACTAGACGTCCTTTGGTCTACCAGACGTCCTTTAGTCTACCAGACGTCCTTTGGTCTACTAGACGTCCTTTGGTCTAGTAGACGTCCTTTGGTCTAGTAGACGTCCTTTGGTCTACCAGACGTCCTTTGGTCTACCAGACGTCCTTTAGTCTACCAGACGTCCTTTGGTCTACTAGACGTCCTTTGGTCTAGTAGACGTCCTTTGGTCTAGTAGACGTCCTTTGGTCTACCAGACGTCCTTTGGTCTACTAGACGTCCTTTGGTCTACCAGACGTCCTTTGGTCTACTAGACGTCCTTTGGTCTACCAGACGTCCTTTAGTCTACCAGACGTCCTTTGGTCTACCAGACGTCCTTTGGTCTAGTAGACGTCCTTTGGTCTAGTAGACGTCCTTTGGTCTACCAGACGTCCTTTGGTCTACTAGACGTCCTTTGGTCTACTAGACGTCCTTTGGTCTACTAGACGTCCTTTGGTCTACTAGACGTCCTTTGGTCTAGTAGACGTCCTTTGGTCTACCAGACGTCCTTTGGTCTACCAGATGTCCTTTGGTCTACCAGACGTCCTTTAGTGAAAAGTTTCACAATAAAAGCCTCCTCCTAACCCCCCCACACACACACGTGTGACACTCACTTGTCGGCCAGCGTCCGCGCCTCCTCGGCCAGCAGCGTCATGTTGTTCGGGTCCCCTGTGCCGCTCGGCGGTTTGATGTCCTGTGGACAGACAGACAGCGGCGTCAGCTAAGCGGCGTCTCGGCAGGACCGACGGTGGTAGCCGTGGCCGTGACTCACCACTTTGCCGAGCGCGTCCTTGGCCTTGTCCAGCTCCTGGCGAGCGCGGTCGATCAGGTCCTCGGCCTCCCGGACGCGGTGGCGTGCGCGGTCGGCCTGCGTGCCCGTGTCGTCCACCGTGCCGCGGATGTTCTGCAGGCGGTTCCACTGGGTCGTCAGCGTGTTGTTGATGCCGCTCAGGCGGTCCCAGACAGAACCGCGGTTCGTCGTTTGGCAGGGCAACAAAAAGTTCGAGAGTCAAAGTTCAAGTCGCGTTCACGCGTTCTCAGGCTGTATAGAAAGCTTTGACTTTATGGAATCTTTGACCCCGACCTACGAACACGTGGTATGTAGTGAATATTCATATAATAATACTGGGCTGTTTATTGATGGATGCCGCTGTCTGAGGTGCTGAAGTAGTTCATAAGGTGAGAGCAGGTCTGCTGTGTGTGTGTGTGTGTGTGTGTGAGGACCTCTGCTGGCCTCGGCCTCCTCCAGCAGCTCCATGATGGACCTCTCTGCCTCCTTCAGCCGGTCCTCGAAGGCCTCGTCGGGGACCGAGCCCTCCCCTGAGCCCAGGCTGTCGATGAGGGTCTGCAGGTCCTGCAGCTTCTGCCTCTGCTGGTTCACCTGGACACACGTGAGTGGACTTCATGTTAATCATTGCTTCTGCATCATTAACGTTTATCTCCTTGTCCCCCCAGAGGCGTCTGTCCTCACCTTGTCCCTGACCAGGCCGTAGCAGGAGGGACACTGCTGGCAGCCCGGCGCCGAGCGGTTGTAGAAGTAGTTCTCCTCACACATGTCGCAGCGAGCGCCCACGAAGCCGGGCCGGCACCCGCAGCGCCCGTCCTCCTCGCACTGACCGGACCGGGAGCCCTCGGGGTCGCAGTCGCAGGCTGTGGGTCACAAGGGGGGTTACAACACGCACACGCACACACGCACATGCACACACACACGCACACATGCACACACACACGCACACGCACACGCACACACACGCAGCGCGCTCACGTTTGCATCCCGACGAGCTGAAGCCGAAGAAGTTGACCTCGCAGCGCTGGCAGAGCCGGCCGGAGACGCCGGGCTGGCACTCGCACTGCCCCGAGGTGATGTCACACTGCCCGCTGGTGGAGCCAATCGGATCGCAGTTGCACCTGCGCAGCGAGGGAGGGGTCCATTAGAGGGGGAAGAAGCGCTGCCGTGACGTGACGGTGGCGGCGGCGGCGGCGAGGAGAGCTCACCGTTCACAGCCGGCGGCGCTCTGCAGGTTGAAGAAGCCGGGCTGACAGACGCTGCAGTCCCTCTGCGCCACGTTGGGGAGACACTCACACTGACCGGTGACCTGGGAGCAGCTCGTCTGTCCCCCAACGGTACCGGACGGAGAGCAGGAGCAGGCTGGGGACAGGAAGGAGACGAGAGGGACACGATGTGAGGGACACGATGTGAGGGACAAAGGAGAAGAAGAAGAAGGAGGAGGAGGAGCTGTTACGTAACGTGATGTCATGGACCAAACTATGGATCAGTTCTTTTAAACCTCCTCTTGCTCCTCCAGAAGAACAAGGAGCAGATCATGAACCCTTTCAGATCACGTGACCCAGGAAGCCTCTGGTCGGTCCCCCCCCCCCCCCTTACGTTTGCACTTGTCGGCGGCGTTGGCGGCCAGGGCGTTGCTGTAGTAACCGTCCTTGCAGCGGTCGCAGAAGAAGCCGGCGGTGCTGTAGATGCACTTCAGGCACTCGCCGGTCTCGCGGTCGCAGTTGCCGACGGCGTTGGGGTCAATGTTGTCGCTGCACTTGCAGGCGCGGCAGGCCCGGACCGGCCCGGCCCCCCCAAGAGGGTCCCCGAAGAACCCGTCGTCACAGAGCTCGCAGCGCTTCCCTGGAGATGGTGGACCGGTTACCATGGAGACGATGGAAGGCACGCGTGCGTGCACACATACACATCATGTGTGTACCTGTGGTTCCTGCGGGGCAGTTGGTGCAGACCACCTCCCGGGTCTTGGGGACCACGGCACAGGTGGCGCCGGCGGGACAGGGACACGGCTCACAGTCTCCTGACGACCCGCTGGTGGCGTCGCCATAGAAACCGTCTCTGCAGCGCTCACAGCTGAGGCCGGCCGTGTTGTCCCGACAGTCGCACGCTCCTGGACGGGGAGAGAGAGACGCTGTCAGACCGCTCGGTGTGTAACCAGTGCCACCAGCACCAGCACCAGTACCAGTACCAGTCGTACCCGTGTCCGGGTCGCAGGCCTCGCTGTGTCCGTTACAGTTGCACGGCTCACACGGGCTGAAAGCTCCCAGTTCCTGCCGGGCGCGTCGGTATCCCAGAGTGCACTGCTCACAGTGTTGCCCCTGGTAACCCTGAGGACAGGTGCAGCGCTCAACCCAGCGGGCCGGCACACCTGGGGCCCGCCTGGCCGTTACCAAGGAGACGTCGTCGAGGTAACCGGCACCTGTGGAGACGAGTGGTTAGTGGATGATGCGGAGGAGGGTGCGCGCGTCGGGCTCCTTCGGGTGCTCGTACTCCTCTCGCTGTAGGTTCCGCGGATCTTGATGGCGGTCAGGTTGTGGAGGAGCTTCTGGAAGTCGGGCTGGCTGATGGTCGGCCTCCAGGGATAATCTGCGGTGTCGTGCAGCCTGAGCACAACGAGCACGTTGTGACACACACACACACACACACACACGTTAGCTGTCAGTAATCACAGCGGCCAATGGGAGGGGACACACAGCAACTTCCACTCTAGCCCCGCCTCCACAATCTGTAAACCCTGAACCTGACCATCTCACCTGAAGACGTATGTCTGCATGTTCTCGTTGGGGTAGGCGTTGCCCTGGGCGATGAGGGGCACCGCCACCCGGAGGCCGGCCCCCTCCAGCACCAGATCCTCCGCCGACAGGCGCGTGTCCCGCCGGTCCACCCGGAAGCTCAGACTCAGGTTCTGTCCGTAACTGAGCATCTGGTTCCCCAGAAACTTCTCTGTGAGGACAAGAAGGAGCCCAGCTGGACGCGTGAATACCAACAACGACGTCCCCTCAGCAGCGTTTAGAAAGTGTTTGTTTGCAGGTAAAGTTACTTTGAGGTGTGTGTGTGGGAGTGTGTGTGTGTGTGTGTGTGTGTGTGTGTGTGTGTGTACCTGGGGCTACGAAGTACATGGGGAAGTAGTCTTCTGAGATGAGGGACACTTCCTGTCCACTAGGAGACCACTGGACGGAGACACTGGAACCGTCGCGCTGCTGCCCGGTCCACTGCTCATCACCTGACACACACACACACACACACACAGGTTACAGCACCTGCCCGTCACCGTGGTTACGCCGGGGGAGGCGGGCCTACCTCTGGGGAAGGAGGCGCTGACGGCGTACACGCTGAAGCCCTCGGCGCTGTCGCACACCGACGAGTGCTGGAAGCAGAAGCAGGGGGTGCAGCCCTGAGGGTTGGTG